GTTACTAAAATTCCCCCAAAAGTTCTCGGTGAAATTTGTGCGGTGATGGTGGTCACTAGACCGTAAATGATGGCGAGCCCAATCAAGCAGATTGAGTTTCACACCAGAACTGCCTAACACCACGTTTTAAAAGCACAGTAACTCCCATCTTCTTCAGAGCAGGGGAGGACAATTAGGTGCAGAAAGGTCATCAGCTGACACATCTCTGCTAACCTCAATTTTATGGTCCTGGCTTTAGTCTGCTTTGGTAAGTCCCAAACATTTATGTTGTTTTTTTCCAAACCACTGTTGCAGTGTCAGGAGCAAACCCTTTTTGTGAACCATCTTTGGGCCCTGTGATACAGTCAGGAGGAAACTGAAATAGATGTTTGTTGCATTGAACAGTAAATTCAAAGATTTTCTGCAGGTCTCCCTAATTGGATAAAGAAGGAATTGGCATTGTGGACATATAGCCAGCCTTGATGTCCGATGGGCTGGAAAGAGCTGTCTCCCTCTATACTTTGAGCTTCTCCACTGGCTTGATGCCCCAAAAGCCCTTCTCTGGGTGGGCTGCCCATCGCAGATGGGAGTTGCAGCAGGTCCATGCCAGCAGGCCACATTAGGGTCCCTCTGGAGCTGCAGGAACAGGCGTTGCAGCAAGTGCTCTCCGTAGACCCTGGCAGTGTCCTGGGTGCCAGTCATGGCACTGGTGCCCTGTGGTGTTGGCACGACCGTGGGCCATGGAGAGCAGCCAGGCATTTCTCCCCAGCCTGGCCACAAACACTCCTGTCTTTCATTTGCCCGCTGTGTCAGCAGAGCGCACTGTTCTTTCCATGTATCGGTGACAGTATATAAATGCTGCCAAAATGTTTTTATTTTCAAACAGTAGCGTGGGGCAGGATGGGCTGGCCATTACCATCAGCAGGAGTGGGGCCCTGAGAGCTTTGCTTGAGGTCAGCATGGAGTTAAGGTTAATAAGCAAAAGTTCTGTGTTTTCAGGATCTGCTCAAGTCATCATCTTTATATTCCCTTATTTCTCAACAGGGCAGTTTGGTATGGTTTAGTGTTGTGTTTATGTGCAAGGAGGGAAACAGTGGGAAGATCCTGGCCCTGGGATGGCTCAGGTCACCTGCAGAACCCAGATTAGGAGGACTTTGAAGGGTTTTCAAGGTCATTATGTTTTAAACTGTGTGTCTGAAACTGGCTCTGTGTTGTAGAGGTTAAATGTAGAAGCAGTGCTGGTGGGTGAGAGCCGAGTGCTGGCTGGTATCTGCCTCTCCAGTGAATTTTCAAAAGCTTCTGCCTTTTGTCTTCTTTTGCATCCTCCATCTGGAAGGACGTCCTGTGTGTTTCACTTTGCAGGTCATCCTGCTGCTACAGTAAAATGTTGTGGTTTTTTTGCAAATAGCTGATGTTTACATTTTAATATGTTGGGGTTTTTTCTTTCAATTTTTTTTTTCAAACAGCCTTCAATGTGTGGTTGAAATGTTAAAATAATTGGTATTCTGATAAAACACTACTAGAAGCTTATAATATTCAAATAATGAGATTTGATTGCTGTATTCAAATAGGACCTAAATTCCTACTCTCCCACAGTTTTATATGTCATTAATTCACACCTTGTCATGGCTCTCAATGTCATTATTTCATATGAAATTAAAAAAAAAACCAAACCTGTTTGTGTCTGTCTAAAACATTTTGCTCTGGAGTTTTGCCTCGGCAGAAGCAAAATGTAAAATAATGAAGCCATGGAGGGGTGGGTCAAATTGCCGTACATATTAAAAGAGGAGCTTTTGATCAGCTTCTTTGAGGGTCTGGTATAACTCCATTTATCTGCAGATCTCAGGGGACGCCCCAAGCCCCCAGATAATGGGGGACTTAGTTAATCAGGGCAGCCAGCTGTCCAGCTTTCCGCCGGGGTAGGGTTCAAGCTCACAGCCCATCCTCTGCATCCAGGCCTGCTGCAGCAGTGGATTTGTGCGTTCCCTGCAGCGCTCCAGCCCTGAGGCTGCTCTAGGAAAGCCAGCCAGGCACTTCGGGCTCCATCCCATCTCAGGGGTTGCTGATCCATGGTTGTGTTTTAAAACCAGTAGTTTGTGTGGCACTTTGTCTACATTCTGCTTGGTGTTGGGGGCACCTTGGTGACAGGTGGGCTCTGCCCAGAGCTTGCAGGAGAGCCGTGACACAAAGGTCAGGTTAAAGAGGTTCAGAGTGAGGTTCTAATGTTTGTAGCTCAGTGATATTTTGTGGTTGGCTCTTAGGCTGAAGGCACAGCACGTTTCCGTGGGGCAGCCCTGACAGAAGTATTGCTCTAGAGATTTTCGGGATAGACTGATTCCTACAGGGCAATAAACAGGAAACCTCGTGATGTTTTTTTTACAGGACGGAGGTGTTTTTCAGAGGGCTTTTTTACAGCTTGTTCATGATGCATCCACATTCAAATTCCTAAACTTCAGTAAAATTTCAGTTGACTTTTTCTTTTTTTAATGAATCCCAACTGTTCTCCCAAATGTGCACGTACGCTGAGACAGAGATAGCAGGGAGTTTAATTTCACTTTGCTGCAGTCACTTAACTCTCTTTTGATTAAGCTGTGAGTACAAACAAGCAGGGGCATCCCGCTCGCTGCCCGTATGGCAGGAGCTGCTGTGCTCCCGCTGCTCCAGGGATCTCAGGAGGGCAGGGGAGCGCCAAGCTGTGGATGGAGCTGGGCTGGGCAGCCCTAGGCCTCGCTGTGCTGGGGGGATCTGCACCCGCTGCTTCTGGCTTTTCAGCGTGCAGGAGAGATGCTGAGCTGGGGTCTTCCTTGCTTGCCTCCAAAGCACTGGTGGATCTGCAGGGCTCTCCAGATCTTGGAGCGCTCTTCCTCAGCTGCCTCTCCTCAGCTGTTTGTCCAGGCGGTTTTTCCCACTCTTTTGTGTGGTGAGCAGCATCCTCCAGCTCATCAGCAGGATTTTAGCAGGTGCAGAGCAGACCTGGGCAGCGTTTCCGTGCGGCGTTTACCCGAAGCGGGCAGCCCCGCGCGGTGCCGGGCCGTGCCGCTGTGCGAGATGCGCGGAGCAGACCCAGCAGGGCTTTATCAGGCCGAGCCTTTTCTCGTCCCCCCCAGCCTGGTTGGAAGCCCACGAGCAGCCCCGGCAGGCTCAGGTGGTCGCTAGCCCGCGGTGTCGCTGAGCCCTTTCAGCAATTTGTCACGGCCGGCTCCGCTCCCGTTGCGGCAGCACGTGCCAGCTCCGTGTCACCGGGGCCGCTGCCAGACGGGCGCGCAGCCCCCGCCACCCCCGGCCGGCGCTCGCCCGCCCGGCAGCGCGCTCCGCACGGCCCTGGCAACAGCCCAGCGCCGAGGAATCAGCATCTCCATAATGAGCAGTGAATGGCATCCATCAGTCCCTTTAGAATTGGGCCCAGGCGTGTGCCTCCTCTCCGAGGAAGTTTGGCAGCCTATTCATTAACAAGAGTCATCAGGAGTTCAGCCCATAAAGGGGAGGCAGCTCCGCTCGCTGCGGGCTGGCGCTGTCAGGAATGCGTTCTCCCCGGCTTCGGGCAAGGCAGGAAAACTGAGCAAATAACGCTGTCAGCAGGTGCAAACGCTGAAATGCTGGCTATTGATTTTCTTTCTTTAGGCTTCCACGGGAAGTTTATAAGAAGATTTATCACATATCAATCGTCCTCTGCGAGCGTTAAATGCAAAATTCTTCCTTTCTTTCTCTTCCCTTTGTTGCCACCACGCCTGCAGGAACTCGCCGTGCAATGAGAAAGTGCTTTGCTTATTCCCTTCGAGGTCGACACTAGACCACTGTCTCCTGGCTTTAAGCACTGCTTTTCTCTGATTTTTTTTTTTTAAATAGTGTTTCAGAGTGGTTTTGTTAATGTACTGCAAGTCACAAATGGCACTTCAATATTAATTAGTAATGCTTTTCAATTCTAAATACCCTCACCTGCATTCTGTTGTCACTGGTGTTATTCTCCTGCTCCTAATTTCTAAATTCAGCTTGGCCTTTGCTCCCACCGAACAGCCTTGCAGAGCTCGAGTGCATTTCCCCATAACAGAAACACAATGAGGCGCTGAAAACTTTTGTTTTCGCTGAGGAAACGGAGAATGAGATGTCATCCTGGCTCCTGCGAGCCCTAATTCATAAAGTCATACATGAGGCTCTCCAGCCCATTGTAGGTTTGTCCCAGGCGTTATCCTGTTATTGGAAGTGTATGATTCACCTTCTGAGCAGACAGAAGCTGCACACAAAAGGGGAAGATTTGCTTTCTCCGCTGTGAAAGGCTGCCGCAAGCAGGGGTCCTATTAAGACAGCTGGAAAGTTGCTTCAGCTTGTTACGCTTGTAAGTTTTATTGGTGACTGGTTTTTGATTACACATTTGAATGCTGTGTGTTCCAGGTTGCCGAGTTTTAATTAAAAGGCAATAGTCTCGATGTTAGCTCGCTTTGTTGTCCGCATTATTCAGGCCATAATGCATGCAAGTTGTGGGCTGGGTTTGTCCACCGTGCATCATTTATTTGGGATACATAAGGTTGCACCTTCTAGCACCTGCCCTAAATACAACCGTCACACTTTTGGAATTGGTTTATTGTGCTTAATTTCTCCTAAGAAGTCCAGTGATCAAATGAATGTGGGGGGAGGGGGGTGTATCCCTCTGTCCTGTAGCTTTTTTTCTCCAATCTAGTTACTTTTCTGGTCATTGGAACAGGAATATTGAGTGCCAGGAGCTTCCCGTAGTGCCACAGCCTGTCTGTGATGGTGGGTTGTGATCTGGGGCTTTGCTCCTGTACTCGGCAGCTCCCAGGTCACAGCTTCTCAGTCAGGAAACTCAAGAGGTGATATCCTGAATTTCCAGCCCTGAATGTATCCCCTCCTTGTTGCTCCCATTCAGAACCGTTGGGCAGTTCTGATCCGGTTCCCTGCCCATTCCAGCCCGGTCAGTGTGGATGTGGGGCTGGGGGCTGGTGCTCGGGGATGCCGTGGGACAGCCTTGAGTTCTGCACACGCCTTTCCTTAACGGGGCACCGCAGCTACGAGGAGAGAGCTCTGTACCTCGAAGCCATCATCCAGAACCATAAAGAAGTGATGACGTTTGAGGATTTTGCCGCTCAGGTCTTCTGTCCCTCTCCCAGCTACTCCCTCGGTGGAACTGGTGAGTTCTGCACATTACTCTTCTCTGTAGCCCAAAGAAGCACTTGAGCAGCAGATGTACACCTGTTTTTTGTAGATAAATGCTTGCAAATTTAAGACGACTATTCTTCCCTTGAATCAACTAATGAATATCAAAAGGAATGATGACATTCATTTTAATTTGTTTTGCATCAGAGCTATTCACACTGCTCCTTTCTTCAGCTATCCTGTTAACCTCCAACTCCAGCAAGGTTAATGAACTTTCTCGCAGTGATGGGCTCGGGCTCATTCAGGACTCCGGGTTCTTGCTGAGCTGGGAATATGTTGTTCAAAAGTGAGGCCTGAATTGGGGCTCACTTATCAGAAATAGTTCCTTGCAGGGGAAGCTGCTGTTAATGCTAAATGGGGATTATGCTGCTGAGCTACCAGGGTCAGGGATTAATGCACAAGAAACGCAGGAACGGGGTGCTGTTAGGGAATGGCGGCGGCCTGCGGGATGCAGGCGAGTGCGCTGCAGGCTGCCCTGCAGCACCTGGCCTGGAGCCTCTGCGGGGTTTGTGATGGGGCTGTGGGTGTGGGGGGGTCTGTGCTGTCTCTGTGTGTGTGTGTGTGCATGCACATCAGTGCTCATCAGTCATCCGCCTGCTGAGAGGTGACAGCATTGTGCCGAACTCCGGGAATTTATTCCTCATGTGCCTTGTGGAGGGTTAGGTTAGTGTGCAGTCACAATCCCTGTCCGGCTGGTTTGATTAAGTTTAAGTGAACCTCTCCTGAAAGGGAGCTTTGGCTCTGAAATGCACATTTCTAGTGCCTTCAAAATGTGGTTTTTTTCCAGCATCCAGAAAGTATCTGGTCACCATGTGCTGGTCTGTCTAACAAAGATTCCTTAATCCGTCGTTGACACTCCTAGGGTGACGCTGGCACTTTCTCATCATTCCCTGCTTCTCTTTTGGATTGTTGAATAGATTATTTCCAACCTGTATAAACGTTGCAGGACATCTGCTCTATTTCTCTTTAGCCTGACTTGTTAGCAGATATCTTCCATCTAAACTGAAACACTGAAGGAAGAAATTAAATTTGCTCACATAAATCACTTAGGAATAAAACCAGCCGTGCAGCATTGTCTGGCGTTGCTGGCTCCAATCCTGGCGTGCTTGGAGCTTTGTGAGGAGATAAGAGGCCTGTGCTGGCCGGGCAGTGGTGGCCAGGAGCAGCAGGCAGAAGGCTTTGGAGATAAGCACTGGCAGGAGGGGGGAGGAAGCCGGGGCCATTTACATAATCGCACCTCTTCGTCCTGGAGAGGCGTCAGGGAACATGGGATGGATCTATTGATCTCTGCTGAACTGGAATACTAAACAACGCTAGGAAAGCTTATAACTTAAAGCTTTGATTAATGTTTCCTACATTAAAAAGTAGAACAGCTGTGCATTAAATTCTTTTATACACTCTGCCAAAAGTCTGAGACAAAAAAATCGCCCATTTCAATAGGAGCGCGGCGCGTGCCCAGAGCTGGTTGTTAGCACTTGAATCATTTATCTGCCGACGTATCAGCAAATAGAATTGTAGATATAGGGATCTGTTCTAAACGTTTTGCTTTTGCTCTGTGCATAGTTGTGTTTCGTTTTCGTGTTGTTCTTAGCACATGGTATTGTGTCACATGTGGTTTGACAGGGCAGACCCCTCCGCAGCCCCACTTTCTGAAGGATAAGCTGTGTATGCCAAACACATTTAAACTGTTTCCCAGTAGCTGAGGATTTCAGAACACTGTTAAATCAAGAGTACCCGGGTATGATTTCATTATTTTAATTGCTTTTAAGTGCAAAGCCTCCCCCAGTCAGGACCCAATTTTCAGACTTCTGAACCTCAGAATTAATTTCCCGCTCATGAACTGGAGGCCGGCCATGACTTCTGGTGTCAGAATCTCCGCTTCAGAGAGTCTCCTCACATTACCTGCTGATTCTCCTGCATATTTAGTCAGTGATGAGCAGGGGCAGTGTCAGCTGTGGCCATGGGGATGTGTTTTCCATCAGATGCCCCTCAGCAGTCGGCAGGGAGGCTGGATGCAGTCCTGGCAGCTCTGCTGTTCTCCAGCCAGGCGTGCTCCAGGCATAGATCCACCTGTCCTGGACCTGCAGGGATCACCTGTCTGCCACTCTGGAATACAGGGGGCATTTTTCTATTCTGAAACAGAAAAAAGGAGTCAGGGAGCAGTTAATAAAAAGAAGCACTTTTTCCTGAAGGAGTGGTCAGACACTGACACAGGAGGCACTGGGTTCCCATACCTGGAAGTGTTCAGGAGGCATCAGAACATGACCTTGGGGTGATGATGGTGCTGCTGGGTTGGCCACTGGACTTGTTGATCTCTTCCAGCCTTGATGATTTTGTGGGATGTATGGAGCTGACACAGGTGGGAGTACAAGCCAGTCAGTACTGCTGACTCTGCCGAGCATAAACTGCTCAGGTAAATTTAAGATTAATTCTCATCTGACCTGATTCTTATAATGCCCCTCAAGTGTGATGCTGTCAGTGCTGCAAATGATGTGTGCAGCAGAGAGGGTCAGGGAGTAAGGGTGCTGCTTATCACAGTGCAGCGTTCTCAGGAGTCACCCCAGCACAGGGAGAAATCAAACACAGCTCTCGGTGACATACTGGGGTATCCCTGACTATGAGATAATTCTTGGAACTGGATGTTTTTGTGTTTTCTGATGCTGCCCCTGGGGACGCATCCCCAGACTCATGTGGGATGTGATTTTCCTGCCCTGGCTTAGTCTCCCTGTCACCAGTCTTGCAGGTGCTGCGTTTTCTGCAGGAAAATTGTCCAGTTGATCTCCTTTAATGTTTTGAGGAACAGAGCCTTAAACTCCCTGTATGGATTACAGATAGTGTTGAAAGTGCAGCCTCATAGGCAGAATGGCCATGCCCAAACTCATGCAGGGGATGTGCAGATTAGGAACAAAAGCTGGGAATATGGCCCTTTGTTGCTAAACTGGTGCATTACATGCTGTATTTTAATTAGGCAGGGTTTGAGAGGCAGCCCAGGAAATCCTCTATAATCCAACACTATTGAATTATTCTCATTCTTTCCCTCCGCAGATTTCTCTCCTTTTTAGTGAACAGGCTTTAACCTGATATTCTTGCTCTCTCAGCCAAAACCAGAAATAGTGATTCAACGAAATACTTGTGTGTTCTTTTAAAAAATTGGTGAAGCTGAAGTGGGCAGAGCAGCACCCTGACTTCATCTGCCTCTGTAGCTCCTTGGGGCTTTGGTCTGTTTTAGTGTAAGATCAGCAGCCAGACGCACAGTGTTAACCTTGGGAAGAGAAAGGGGCTGCTGGATATTCCAGAACTCTCCAGTCACAGCTTTCCCACCACAAGGATCCTGTCCGAGGGGATGCTGTTCTGGGGAACCCCCTAGCGGAGCGCTGCCGCCGGCGCCTCAGGGGTTAATGGGAACGGGCACACTTGACTGCTGAGAGGACTGATCTAATCACTGCCATATCCAAGTGCATCTGTTCACCATGAGGTCATTCTTGTGCATGCTAATGACTTGGAAAATAAAGCACAATGCTCAGCGTTATCAGGGAGGATATAGTGTAAATCTTGGCTTCTTTAGTTGCTAATGGGTAATGTGGAATGGGCAGAGAAAGCATCTTGGATTCTCCAGCTTAATGTTTTTAAAGAATCCTTGTCAGAAGAACTGTGCTGGAAAACTTGGACATGTGGTATCTGTTGATAAATGGATTCTTAAATGAATATTATGGCATTGCCCAAGCGCAACACTTGAGTCGAGGAACTATTGAGGTTTTCAGCATTCCCTGGTTTTAAAACCCCGGGAGCTGTGCCTGCTGATTTACATAAAACCGAGATTTTGCAGCCTTTTTGTTGCAAAGGTGACACATGCTTTTCTTTTGTCTCTGGACTTTTACATGCGTAAAGTTCTTGTATAAAATATTTTAATGTACAGCAAACAAGATCTGGTTTATTTTAAACCACTTTTTTGTTCAATGCTGAGCTTTATCTTTCCCACTTTAAAGCAAAATTATTATTTGGACATGCAGATTAAAAATATATTTTTGACAGAAACAAAAACAAACCCAGAGTAATTATTGTTTTAAACAGGACTGATGGTTTTTGTAACAGTAATTGAGCTAAGGATTCCTTTTGCTTTAGTTTGGTTTTTCTGGGGTTTTTATACTACTTTGGGGGTTTTGTCATTTTGTCTTTTTCCTTAAAGCTCTGTAGGGTGTTTTGTCAGATCTGTGTCCATGTTCCGTGTGTGTATATCTATCTGTCTATGTAGTATTTTTGCCTGTTTTCCTGGGAATATTAGAAATATACACATGTAAAACTGAGTAGCTGTGCCACAGTATCCAAGCACACGCAGTGTGTGCCAGGGGTTGGGTTTAATCCATGTGGCAGTGTTACCTGAAACTGAACAATTTGTTTCTAATATATGGGATTTAGGAAATTCCTGACTGTCCTGGTTACTAGCAGAACAGGGAATTGCTGCTGCATGGAGCAGGTGTGAGGTCTGCTGGGCGTGGTGCTCAGCAGGTGAGGTGGGACACTGTGCAGTTGGTGCTGCCATGGTGGTGCAGGCTGTCCAGGCAGGGAACAAAGAGGAACAGCTGAGGGAAGTGGAGCAGAGGAGCCAGGACAGTTACCACAGGAGGCAAGACTCCAGGGCTTTCTCTTCTTCCTTCCCTGTGAGGACTATTCGGGATGAGGTACGGGGACCTCTCATCCTCAGCAGACTGGAGCCTGCTGCAGCTGGGCTGCCCTTGGGAAGTTCCTGCAGTGGCACCAGCAGATGTGGGAGCTGCTCCTTGGTCATCAGAGCTCTGCCCATAATTTTCCTGCCCATTTGGCAAGGCTGCTGCCTCAGTGTCCCCATGAGGGTCAGGAATGGGCTGGCATTAAGCAGGGCAGGGTCACAGGTACCACAAAGCGTTGGGGGCAGCAGCTCTGTGGCCCAACAGGCTGATTGATGCAGGTGAATGCCCAGGAGCCCAGGCCTGGCTCCAGAGGGTCCAGATCCCTGCAGAGCCCCAAGGAAGTGGCCGCCTGCCCGGTGTGCTGGGGCTGTCCCTTGTGCCACCACTGAGGGTGGACAGTCCAAACTCGTCCCCCGAGGCTGGGCAGGTGCTGGGACTGCTTCCCCCTCAAGCCTCATGTTCCCCTTGGGATCTCCACCAGTGTAGGGGGTGAGAGCCACATCAGGATTCTCAGCCTGGCCCCCTGCCTTTTCCATGTAATTAATTGGCTCAGAGGGTGCTCCCCCAGCTATGCTCTCCAGGAGAGGAGGTGGTGAGGGAGGGTTTATCCTAGCAATCAGTGCTGGGATGGACAAAAATATGAGCTTGATGGGCCGTCTCTTCTGCTGGGTGACAGCTCCAGCTGCTCGAGCTGTCAGCTTGCAGAAGGCTCCAGGCAATGTGGCCCCTCCACATTTTCCCTCTGCACTGAGGCACTGGCAGAGACCTGCAGCAGAGGCAGAGCAGAACCAGGGCAGAGCCGTCCTGTGGCCTCGTGCTAGGGCCTGGGCTGCCCTACCTGTGACACCCACATAACCCCCAGCACTTGGTGGGGTCCCCCTGCCTGAGGCTGAGCCTTGCAAAACTCAGCAGCAGCTGCTCCAGTTTGAGAGTAATTAAACTTCAATGTGTACGTTTCAGGCTTATTTCCGAGGTGCTCAAACCACGGAGGCCCACAGTGGTGCCAGGAACTCCCACCTGAGCTGGGAGCTGTGGGTGCCATTTTAAGGTCTGTTCTGCCCCTGTTATTAACTTGTAGTGTCAGAGTCTCTTTACTGTGTCACTTACAGCTTTTCAGGACACTAGAGGAAGCGTGTGGCTTTGATTAACCCAGCTTCAGTTATCCATGGGTTTTTCTATGCAGGCTCAGGATGCTGCTTACAGTGTACTTGGAGCCTGTCTTTGGGAGTTGGAAGCAGGAACACTGTGCAGATTTATGACAATGTTTCTCTCTGGAATTTTATTACCTTTGCATTTACTAGGAAGGAAAACAAAGATTTCCACAGACCTGTCCTGGCTGAAAGGTTAACAGGGGGCTGTAACAGGTCACAAGCCCATGTGAAAACTTTATAGTTCTTCTCAAGTACCAATCTTCAGCATCCTTACAGGTCATGTCTTACCCACCCTTGCTTTCAGGGGTGTTCAGCTGCTTCATGAGCAGTGGTTAAAATGCCATTCCTAGAGCACATGCCCTGGGGAAGGAACCAGGTTTATTCTGTGGACTGGATTTAAAATGCAATACACCATCTCTCTCTGGCTTCCTGCAAGGTAACCTTGCATTTAAAATGCTACCATCTATATTTTAATTCTGTTTTTAATCCCTCCTGCAAGAAATGTGTTTTAAAAGCTTCATGCTCTCTAAGCAGCCTCACCTGTGAGAGGCCCTCCACTGTGTCTGTGTGTGTGTCTTGTCTGAGTGCAGGTGTGTGGCTGCAGGATTTATCCATTCAAGGACTTCTGGCACCAGGATCGCTGCGCTGCTCACTTCCTGGAGTTTTATCTGGCTATAGTGTCACAGACACTTCAGGTCTCCATGAAGCCTCAAATTTTAGCCAATTTCAAATGGTGTGACCAGCAACAGTGCTGGATGTGGAGCTGAGGCATGAAGCAGCTGCACACCACCATCCCACAGCAGCAGGTTTGACAGAAGATGAAGCACAATGAATATTCATTCCGATTTTTGCCAACATTCCCTCCCTTGGTTGTTTCAGTCCTCAGACCCCAGGAGAAAGTGCGTGGGTGTGTGTTTTTGCAGGTCCCTGAGGGGAGCTCCCCTTCCCACCTTTAGCGGGGTGTGCTGTGTCAGGCGATGCAAACACAGCAGTCACAGGGTGCTGGTCCTGCACTGACATGGTTTTGTTCTCCCCTTTGGTCCTTCACTGACATAGTTTTGTTCTCTCCTTTAGATTAGAGTGTTAATGCTCTCGGTACAGTAACAGCCACAGGTAAGAGCGATGCTTCCTGCAGGCCCCTCTGCTGCTGCTGCTGCGGTCCATCACTAACAGCTCTCCTTCCCCTCCTCCTCCCTTGCTGCCTCTGCTCCACGTTCAGCTCTACCTCCTGTGCTCCATGCTCAGCTCACGCCTCCTCTGCTCTGCCTCCCATGCTCTGTGTTTGCCTTGTAGCTCCCATACTCCGCGTGCAGTTCTGCCTCCTCTGCTCTGCGCGCGCCTCCTGCGCTCCGCACGTGGTTCTGCCTCGAGGGTGCAGTTCTGCCTCCTACAAACAACACAATAATGCCCTCCCGTACGTTAATGCCCACAATATGTGTACAGTAATGGCCCCAGTAATGCCTCCTGCGATCTGTGAACACTAAAAACTCTGTGTGTGCCAGATAATGCCTCCCATGATCCACACACGGTAATACATCCCGCGATATGCGCCTGGTAATTATTTTTTACTTCTAAGCTGCTTCAGCTTGTCCATTTGGAGAAAACTATTATTTTGACCATCTGCCATTCTGCCTCACTGCAGGAATGTCAAGCACAACACCTCCCTCGAGAAGCCTTCCCTCCCCCACACTTTTCTCCCCAGCCAATAGCACCACAGGTTTTGTTTTAATCCAAAGTTGACAGCTCTCCATTTTTCACAGAAAATGCCTTTACAGGCTAAGTCACACTTTCCACCTTTTTAAAATGTGCTATTTCCCCTCAGTCACTTTTCTCAAAGAACCAATCTGGTAAGTAAGGGCTGTCTTTGAGATGCAAACGCAGGGCTGCAGGCAGGCTGAAGGGGCTCACACTTCGAGCTGTGCTGCTGCTGTTCCTCTCCTGCTCTCAGTCACTCAAACACCCAGAGCTGCTCAAGCAGAAGCACAGGTTACACCTCACGCTGGAAGTGCAGCCCCGAGCCAGGGTGAGTCTTTGTCCTCAGACAGCAGCTGAGGGCTCATCCTGCTGCCACACTGATCTGTGGCCATGTCCCCACCTGTCCTGCAAGGACAGTGCCCTGCTCACCTGTACCCGAGGGCCAGCTCAGCCATGGGCAGCTTCAGCCAAGGCCCTGGCTGCGCTTTGGGGCATTCTGCGCACGTTTGGGATTTACCTGGGCTAGGAAGGTGAAGGGAGGATTCACAGTCATCCCTCAGGAGGTTCAGAGGGGGTGCCAGTGGTGCCAGCCTTCAGAGAGGGTTCAGAACATTCCTGTGCTCTCCCTGCCTGGTTCCAAGGCTGTTCCTCACTCCTACCTGTAATAAAAAACTTGTATTTACACTTTGGGAGAGAATTGCAACATGGTTTTAAAAATACTGTTTCCTTAGGGAGCTGATGAAACACTGTTCCCCGGGGAAATGCCTTGGGACAGGTCAAGCTTTCAGGAGCAGGGCAGAGCGTGTCCCTCACAGAAACTGTGCCTGGTTTTGGTTATTAGTGTCTCATTTAATGACCATGTGCTCACCTGTTCCCCCTCAGCCAGCCTGGGCAGGCCTGGCCTCCAGGGAATAACCAGCAGGTGACTCCACTCAACAACAAAGCATAACCCCCCCATACCCACAGCCCCACAAGACCCTTCCCCAGTGGTGACCGTAAACATCAGTAACAAGGGTACCTGTCATGTAGTGGAAGAAATTGTGATTCTTTAGGATTTTTCCAGAGGTTAAGGCACCTTCCAAGGAGAGTTATCTGCCAGCCATCATGCTGGGAATGCTTGTTTCCAGCTCTCTGTAACAGGCCAAACACAGAAGAACAGTTTAATGACACACAGCAAAAAACAGTTTTGTATCACCCACACAAATTTTCTATCACCCACAAGTATTTTATGTTGGAGCTTGAAGTGAGCAGGATGGGAGCTTCCTTCCTCCCTCCCATGGGGCTGTTAGGGCCCTGAGAGCCATCAGGGGCTGCAGGGGCTGTGCAGACCAAAAGGGGGTGATGCTGGGGGGCTCAGTGCTCACCTGGACACTGATGGCCTCTCAGGACCTCGCTGCTCCTCACTTCTGGGAGCTGGCAAAGAGAAATCCCTGATTTCCCTGGGAAGCGCAGTATGGCAATTCTTCAGCTGCCTACAGCAAATTCCTCCTCTGGAGGTCAAGTTCACCTGAGCGATGCCAGGAGAGGCTGGGAAGAGGCGAGGGGCTGTGCTGTGCCACGCGGTTATTCTGAGGCCACAGGCTGTTTTGTCCTGACCTGGATTTTCCTTGCCCGCTCTGTTTTCCAGGCTGCCTCACCACAAGTGCAAGCGCCGACCTCGCTGACACCACTGGCGTCGAGCTGGTGGAGCCGCCCTCGCCCTCGCGTGCCTCCAGGAGCAGGCTCTCCAGGAAGCTCTGCTAGCGCCCTCGGCAAGGTGTCCACCTGAACCCCGGAGAACGGAGCTGTGGCCGGGGCAGCCACGGCACCTGAGCACAGATCAGAAAGGGCAGTCTGGGTGAATACGTCTTGAGGGGTGAGGCGAGGGGTTTGCTCTGTGAAATGGCCCTTCCCCAGTCTGGTCAGACATGGCTGGGGATCGGATGTCACCTGTGTCACCATCACCACGGCACTGGCACCAGGTGAGCAAGGGCCCCAAGCCCCTGGGTGCAGGTGCCGCAGCCAGAGGTGAACCAGCACTGAAACTAGTTATTTAATGTACCCTTAGAGCATCGCTTTAGTCATCCCAGGCAGCACCTACCTGTGCATTAAGGAGTTTCTTCTAAAGAGAGGTCTTCCTGTGACTGGCCAGGTAGCAGATGTTCCCTGCTGGAGCACAGGTGGATGAGGGAGGAGCTCTCCAGTTGGTGCTGTCCCACTGCAGGAGTGCCGTGGCCTTTCTGTGGTGTGTGCACTGGCTGCTCACTGGAACTGCTCCCTAGATAAAATAAAGGGAAAACAAAACAAGAATAAGCAAATCCCTTTTAGAAGAACAAAAACCACACTCCTGCCATGATCCCTTCCCTGCACAGTGTGGGTAACCTCCTCACCTTGTCCCAGCAGGCTGACCTGTCTCTAGCCAGAGTACAACACAGCTGAAGGCTTCTGAGGACTTAGGATGTCCTCCTGGCACCTGCTGTAGTGAGCAGAGCTCATGTTGGCAGTAGCTGATGTGTTTTGGTTTACACGTGTCGTAGGTTGATGGGGTGAAAATTTTTATAGTTAAATCCCAGGTATTTTAAAGCAACAGAAATCTGAGATCCAGCAGCCACAGAGCCCTGTGCTGCTGCTGCTTGGTTGCTCCTGGGCACACACATGCACACCTCCCAACAGAATGGGAGTTGCTTTAATAGAAGGGATTGTGTTTTTTGGGAAATGCGCCGTTGGGCCCCCATCTGTTTTTGCACTTACACTCGGTGTTACAGCCATCTGTCTGTCTGACCGTCTGAGTGCCAGCACCTGGCCAGAGGCCACCCTGTGCCTGTGGGGCACATTCCAGCCATGGCAGTGATGCCCAGGCAGCCCTGGGGCTCTGCCCTGCACTCTGTGCCCGAGGGGCAGCAGCGCAGCCTCCTGCCCAACAGGAACTCACCTGGTGCAGCTGCAGGAAGGAGCCTCTGTCACTGAGGGCTTGGACAACTGGTTTGATTTTCTGCCTCACAGTTGGGCTTTGCTTCTGTTGATTTTCTGTCAGTGAAGGAACCTAGAAAATAAAACATGTATTTTAATTTATTTTACATTCAGGGCTGGACAGACAAGTCTGTCTGGCGCTTAGTTATCCAATAGCTGGTCTGAAACAATTTCAAAGGCATCCTTCTGAGTAAGGAGCCCTTTCTCCTTAGAGCAATATGTACCTCTAATTCAGGGAAGAATTAAGACATCAATGAAAAATCATGTTTTCCTGATGTCAAAAAACTCTTAATTTGTATAAACTCCGCTGTGGTTTTGCACCCTGAACTGGATGACAAAGCCACTCTGTCACCCCTCACAAAATTAATAAATCTTTGCTCACAATAAAATTTCTCCCCAGAGCAATAAAAGGCAGTACCTGTGTGGTGTGTGTGGCGGCGGGTGGGAGGTGCCGGGGCTGGAACTCCGAGGACACTGGTGGTGCTGCTGGCACTGGGCCCAGCTGCTGCAGGTGCCATGGCTGTGCAGGGCTGGCTCACAGGGGACAGGGACGGTCCCTGCTGGACGCGGGTTCTGTCCCTCTTGGCAGGAACAGCCGCCAGGTGCGGAGCAGGCAGCGGCGTTCCCAGCCTGGAGTGCTCTTGAGGAGTTCACACCACGCTGTGACTGACACGGGCACCCACGGTCGTGCCCTGCGGACCCCACGTGGCAGCAGTGCCCTTTGCCACCCTGCAGGGTGACACCTCCTGCCAGCCCAGCCCTGCCCAAGGTGCCAAGCACAGAGACAGACTTTTGGGGCCCCCAGAAGCCACTGTCCATAACCTGCTTCCCTGTAATGTCCCATGGCCCAACCACCCGCATTGAAAACAAGAGGTTTTTCGTGGTGATTTTGTACAGCGACATTCCTTAAGCAAATGCAGGGGGCTGCACTCAGCCATAACTATGTCTGAAAAGACAAAGCAAAGTTCCCTTCCTTTGCTGAAAAGCCTCAGCAAAGTCCTCTCCTAAATAGCTTTCAGGTGCTCTAACCAGAAATGGAGAGTGAATCCAGCCAGCTCCAGATAAAGCTCCCTTTGCAGAAGTAACCGCACACTCTCAGGAGCTGTTGGGAACCCAGCTTCCACCTACCTTTCCCAAGGAGGATCCCTGCCCCGGGCCCAGCACCACCCTCGAGTGAGTGGAGAGCAGGCTGGGGCTGCTCTGTGCACTCAGGCTGTGCTGGCAGCGCTCTGAGCCGGCGGTGCCCCTCAGCGGGGCTGGCACCGCCGTGTGTCCCCGCTGCCCTGGCAGCTGTGGCCGTGTGGCTGTGCACAGCTGAGGGCACCCTCGGGGGCTGGGGGCACTGGGACAGGACACGGCCACAGCCAAGGGGCTGCAGCGGCGCTGGCACAGCCAGTCCGGCATGGGGCAGGAGCATGGGCCCAAGGCACCCCCAGCTCTGCACCGACGGCAGCAGCTGCAAAAATGGCATTAAAAACAATCTACTAAATTAAATAATATGTAGACTAGTTTACACTTACCATGGAGTCACAGAATGGATTGTGTTGGAAAGGAACTTAAAGCTCATCTCATTCCACCCTTACCATGGACAGGGACACTTCCCACTATCCCAGGTTTCTGCAAGCCCTGTCCAACCTGCCTTGGAACACTTCCAGGGATGGGGCAGCCACAGCTTCTCTGGGCAACCTGTGCCAGGGCCTCGGCAACCTCAGAGCCAAGAATTTCCTCTCAATATCCCCTCTAGTTATACCTTCCTTCAGCTTTAGAAGGATGCCTAACATTTTTTACAAACATTTGTATAGATATTATCTTATTCCTACACCTATTAATATGCTCTCTTTAACTACAGAAAATATATTAGGGATCTTATCCTATGTTGTATATATTGTATGCTACAGTATTGCAAAAAATATGTCTAATATTTGATGTTTCTATTAGCTAGAGTACATGTTTATGTTATAGGTATTAAATACACACAATGTGTATATATTATTACATTCAGGAAAATATATGCAATCTGTGATCTATGATCTAGGTATAATATAAGATATATAATGTGATATACATTATATATTATACAATTATTATATCATATATGGACTATATATTTTATCCTATTAATACCTGGTTTTGAATATTAAATATTGACTATAAAGGTAATAATTTAATTCAAAATTTGGTTATAGGTTACCTAAATACAATATATTACCTTTACATTATATGTGTATAGCTACATATGCACATATCCCTGGGATATATTTTAGTTATATTACATATCGTGACAAAAACTATAACATTACTTTGCTAATTGTAATATTGTGTGCAAATACATGCAGTATCCTTTTATTTAAAATGTATATAAGAAAATCATATCAATCATGTCAGCAATGTATGAATTCTATATAACATGTTATAATGAACATGTAATATTTGGCACATATATGATGTGCATTATGGAGAATTCAGTACACTATATAAATACAATAACAGTATTTCAGACCATGACTGACGTGTGTCTAGTGGATATGCCAGGTGTGCACACCTACACTCTGTCCTCCACAGCACACAAATCCTGGCTGCAGAGCTGACAAAACCTCCTGTCAGACAAGAGTGTTTCATTACATCAGCACTGGCAATGCCTCAGTAATTATATATAGTGCATAGCTGATATTATGTACTGTAGATAATAATATGCATTGTCTAAGTGGCAGTATATAACAGACATATTAGTATCTATTGTCTAATATAATATGCTCTGATGTAATACATGTAATATATTATTACATTAAAATATATATTGTAATATATTATTACATGTAATATATTATTACATTACCTACATATTACCTGTTATTATTACCTATTACATTACCTGTGTTATTACCTACATATTCTGAAGTTTACTTCTATAAATTCTCTATATTGAATATACTGCTATAAAAGGAATATATTTTTTACATTTATCACAGAATCCTAGAATAGTTTGGGTTGGAAGAGCACAAGAAAGCTCATCTCATTCCACCCTTACCATGGGCAGGGACACCTTCCACCATCTCAGGTTGCTCCAAGCCCCATCCAAACTGGCCTTGGATACTTCCACGGATCCAGGGGTAAATGCAAACTATAATTTATTGTATGTAATAAATTCTGATTTTCTTCTGTGTGTGTGTAACTAAACCAAAACCTCCCAGCTCAGACACTCCCAACTGTATATAATTTTCCTCACATTTGTCATTGAACTGGTGTTGCGCTACAGGTAATTTCCCTCTAAAAACCTGTAAAATGAGCCAATAAAAACACCGTGCTTCCATACCTTGAGAAAGCAGAACCTGTTTTAACCTGCAGCTGAACCATGCTCCTTCTCTCCCCCAGCAGAGGCAGAGCCTTTGCTCTGGTTAAATCCTCCCTTCACTCACCTTCCCCATTCCCTAAGGAAGGCTGAAAAGCCTCAGCAGAGCAGTACAGCAGGCGGGTGGGAACAGGCTGGGCTGTGCATGCCCTCGCCTTCAGAGCTGCGAGGGGGCTTTATTAGAGCTTAAAAACAGTGGTTCTTTTTTAAGAGGAACAGCTGGTTTAACTGGACCTGGCTGCTGCAGATAATGTCCCAATTACCGTGTCAGGAGGATGCGCTCCTAGGAGGGTTCCTGTGCCCGTGTGGGGCTCCGGCTGCCTCCACTGTGCCCAGCTCTGCCCAGCTTCAGTGCCTGGCTGCCTGCTGAGGAGAAAACAGCGTGGTCAGAACAGTGCTGGGGCAGCCCAGCACTTGCATCCAATGGCACAGGTAAGAAGCAAGCCTGGCAGTGTCTGGTGTGGAGCTGGTAGCACAGGACAGCCCATGCTTGGCATGTCCCATCTCAATGATTAATGCATCAAATGTTGCCAGAGGCAGACCTTTGTTACATGGACTGTAAATCACATTTTATGTAAACCATTTATAGTCCTGATGAGGCTTCTTACCTGCATGGAAGGATCTGAGGTGTTTAATGCCATTTGTAAGGATGCACCTGCAAACCCGAATCCGTCATCAAGGGGAGCTGCCTGGGTGCTTCAGGGAAGTGTTGTCCCACCCAGCCTAAAACACTCACCACAACCCAGCACTCCTGACCCGGCAGCAATGGGGCAGGAGGTGTGTTGGTACCAGCACACCACAGCACCCTACAGCACCCTGCAGGCACAGCACCCCGCAGAGAAACACCTGTGACTCCATGAGCCATTTCCCAGCTCATCAACAGCAATACCTTTTTTTTAAACAGGCTTGTGTTGTGTGAGGAAGAGTGAAATCCAAGGCAAAAGCCAATGTCTGTCCTGTTTCCAGGCTTGCCCAAGTCCCATGGATACCCCCCAGCTGCCCACCCCAGAAACAGAGCAGGAGGTGCTGGGCAGGGCCCCCCAAAACCCTGAGCTGTGCCCAGCTGTGTTTCCCAGTGAGTGCATCCAGCAAGGCAGCTGACAGATGCCTTACTGCACTGATGGCTATGAGGAACCATGGTGTTGCTACCAAAACTTGTAAAAACCTTCCCTGGGGACAAGCATCTTCCAGAGAGTCTTCCCCTGAGGGCAAGAGCACCTTGCCCCAGCTCCCCAGCAGCCCTGAGCAGGGATGGTGTCCATGCTGTATTCCTCTATCCAACCTCCCAGCTCCTTTCCCTGTGCTCACAACACTCGGTCCCAGACCACACGTTTGGCTCTCAGTCGGAGAGGAGCAAGGCTCCAGCACAGCAGGCAAACCCCTCTGCCTGAATGCACAGAGCATGAGCAACCTCTGCACCAGCTGCCTCCACTGCGTCATATTTGGGGCAGGATCAGTGTTTTCCACGGTGCCCAAACCTGTTCCTGCTGGATGCACCGGGAGCCATCAGCAGCTGATTTGTTAGCTGACGGCAGGAGGCTTTGTTTGCACAGCGCTGGCCGGCCGTGCTGCCAGGTGGCCAGGACATGGCACCCACCAGGCAACACCTGCATTCCCAGGGTCTGCTGCTGAGAGCTCCCTGGATTCAGCCGTGCTGCTCGGCCCCTGGGAGAGCCACCAAGCTACACATGGGCTTGGAACTTCACAGACACAGAGCAGGAGACAGAGCCCAGCAGAGGCCCAGTGCTAGGGGCCCGGGCAGTGGGACAGTGCAAGGCAGGAACTGGTGAGGTGAAAAGACACATCCACCCCCAAAATACTGTCCAAAGGATACTGGTGTGAGTGGGAGGCTTTGTAACCTGTCTTGGTGGTGCAATGCCCTTCACTGCCAGGTGGCATGAGATGCAAAATGGTACTGCTGATGGCTCCCTGCAAAACCCCTCGGGTAGCTGGGGCTCACCCTCACAAGGAACCTTTCTAGAAACCCCTCAGGCAGTCGGGGCTCAGCCTCACAAGGAACCTCTCCAGAAACCCCTTGGGCAGTCAGGGCTGAGCCTCACAAGGACCCAGTGGTGCAGATGAGGGGAGAAAGGCTGCAGTCACAAAGGCACAGCAGCTCTGCCCAGGTTGCTGCAGCCCAGGGAAAAGCAAATAACATCCCTTTAACGGGATGTTTGTGAACAGAGCCATTTCCAGTGTATTCCACTGTCACCTCTCTTTACTCCTTCCCAGCACAGGAGTCTCCAGTAATCACCCTTTCTGCTCAGCAGGAGATGCAATACGTCAGTGCCGATGGTTACCCAGACTGTTCAAAAAACCTGGGGAATTCTGGCCCTCAGAAATTTCAACTGATTCTTAGCAGGACAAACATGGATTTATCTGACTATTAGGAAATGGACAGCGGTATGAAGCTGTTGTTTTGTGGCCTACTCATCCCGCAGGCTTTGAGCACGGATTTCAGCAGGGACTCTGCTGTGACAGTGTGGATGGAGCCATTAGGCTTCTCCAGAGGATGTGCTGGGCATCGTCTGGAAATGGTGACCAGTGGCCTGAAAGGACAGCCACGTGTGTTGGCGAAGTCCCCTCAGGGAGCAGAGGACAGCTCCATGGACAGCTGCAACACCGTCTGCAACAGCCCAGGATCTGGGGCTTTCCAAGGCCAGGGAAGCCAGGAAAGGCAAAACTGCGCCTCTTGCCAGGCAGGCTTTGCTGCCTGCATCTCTCTGGCTGTGCTCTTTTCCAGTGCATCGATTTACAGCTAAAACCACAGCATTGCTTATGCCTGAAATAAGCCCTGGTACTACCAAATCAGTTTCCTAGGAATCAAAACAAGAGGAGCATACCCACACACTGGTACTGTTCAGCCTGACTGAACAAAAAAAACCCAAAAAACAGCAACACCAACAACAAAAAAAAAAAAAAAAAAAAAAAAAAACCAAAAAAAAAACACCAGAAAAACAAACCCCAAACAAAACTTTCTCTAGAAAGATGTTCTTTCTCTACAAGCTTTATCATAAAATGCTCAGCGTTCCTGGGAAACTTTCCTCCAGGAAGCTCCACCACCTGCCTTTCCCACAGTGAATCAGGGTTAGGGTTAGGAGTCTTTAGGTGACAGAAGATGGCAGGAACAGGCTGGAAACCTCTTCCAGGGAGCCAAAGGCTCAAAGGTATTGCTACCCCAAGATGGAGCAGCCCCAGTGTCCACACCAAGCCCTCAGAGCCCCCTGGCCCTTCATAGCCCAGTTTGGGAGCAGGGATTTGCTCTTGGGGCTGCCAACCAGATTTGCATGCTGTGAAGTTGGCTCTGTAGCTGCTCCTTCTGGCAAAGGGGGAGATGCTATAGGAACATACAACACCTGTCTGTGAGAGGGGTTTCACAAACTCTGCATGCACCTTCCTCACTTACACAGATTTTACAACATTTCTGACCAAACCCATCAAGATTCCCCCATACAAACACAAGCCCTGGAGACAGATCTATCTGCATAGATATGTATGTATCTATATACACAGTTATCGAAGGTTGCTGCAGAAACCCCACTGCAGGGCACAATGGACCAGGCAGGAGCTGGCTCCAGCCCTGCCAAGAAGCAGAGAAATGCCTGGCCTTCTTTGCACCAGCTCCACAGCTCACTGCCAAAGCAGGATGCCGCTGCTCTGCCGAGCCCCACACCAGCAGACACCCAGCAAACAGCACTCGTAGGCAGGGACATCTACAAGTTCTCCACTTACAGGTGCTGCCTCTCCTCGAGCTTTCCCTGCAACACCTTCCAGGGAAGGTACCTGGCAGCTCTCCCCCGCAGCAGAGCACAGGGCAGGCTGTGCCCAAAGGTGGCTAGAGCAGAGGCAGGGCTGGGGCTCCAGCCCATGGCCAGGGCACCCCTTTGCTCAGGGGGCAGCCTTCCCCCGGAGCCGCCGTGCTGCACCCTGCTCTTCTCCTCCCTTTAATTCCTTTTTAATTAATGTCATCAAACGGCACAGAGCAGGCTGGTGCCTATGGAGGCACCCTGCCAGCTGCAGTGCGGAGCCGGGTGCCAGCCCACCCTCCCATCCTCCCAGAGCCCCCAGGGCCAGCCCGGCAGGGAGAAGCAGGAGGGGTGGGGGCATGCTTGAATTTGAAAATATTTTATTCGAATAGTAAATAATTATACAGTTGAAACAGTTCTATCGAAGCACTCTATAAATAGCTAACAGTTAAGAAAATAATGTGTGTAGAAAAAGAGATTGCATCTAAAAGTAAGAGCTGTTGGTTGCACGGGATAAAATGGTTAAGATCATGTGTTATTCTAGGTATAAAAGTTAAAACCTTTTTAGCAGATCCCTTAAGAAAAAAAGATCTTCTAAAACGCACAGTGAAATGGCAGGTGGGGAGACAAAAAAGCGCATTAGAATATCTGCAATCAAATAATATCAATCTTCATAATTAATATAAATAAATAACAAATAAATAACATAATTACTCAAACCAACATATACAGATAGACAACTCATGAGCTACCTTAGTAAGGGCAAACGAACAGAAACAGAAAGTTGGCATGTCACAGTTAAGGCAGTTTCTACAGCATTTTCTGGAGACCATCAACAGCAGAGTCAAGGCATTTGTGGCTACACTAAAGAAAACGCTTGTTTCTCTCAAGCAGTTTGATCTGTTCACATCGATAAAAAACAGAGCAAAGGAACAAAATTAAAAAAAATTAAAAAAAAAATAAAAGAAAAAAAAAAAAGAAAAAAAGAAGAGAGAGACCCCGGGAAGGTAAGTGTAAAGCCAGATTCCAGCAGGTCACAAGCCGTATTAAAGCTAATCGTGTGGCGGCCCCGGGGGAGCAGCGCGGGGCGGCGGGGAAGGCACGGGCGGCTCAGCAGGCAGGGCGCAGCGGCACCTGGAGCAGGATGACCTGCCGGTTCTCCGAGGGGTGGCACTTGTTGATGTGCCGGGTGAGGCCGGGAGAGCTGTAGAAGGTGGCCGGGCAGTACTTGCAGGGGAAGACCTGGGCGGCGTGCAGGAGGCGCAGGTGCCGCTCCTGGCTGCTCTTGCTGGGGAAGGTCTCCCCGCAGACGGGGCAGAGGCGGCACTCGGCGGCAGGCAGCTCCTCGGCGCTGGGCTCCGGGGCCGGTGCGGGTACCGGGGCTGGCGTGGATGCCGGTGTAGCGTGCCCCAACAGGTGCTTGCGCAGGTAGGCTTGCCGGCGGAACCGCTTGGCGCAGCGGGGACACTCGAAGAGCCCCTCCTCGGAGCCCGCCTCCGAGGCTCCGCCAGGGCTCGGCGTGTCCCGCTCGCTGCCACTGCCACCGCTCGCCTCCTTCGGTGTCTCCTCCGCCGGGGCCGGGCCCGGGCCCGCGGCCGGTGCCCGGCCCGCCTCGGGGCCGCTCTTGGTGGCGGGCGGACGCGGTTTGTGCCAGCGGCGGTGGGAGGCGAGGTTGGCGGGGCAGGAGAAGACCTTGTCGCACTCGGGGCAGCGGTACTCCACCCGGACGATGCGGGAGCAGCGGTGCTGCGCCAGCGCGAAGGGGTCCCCGTACTCCTCCTTGCAGAGCTGGCAGATGAACTCGCCCAGCGGACGGGCGCAGCCGCCCCGTGCCTTGGCCGGCACCTCCACCGGGCCCTCCTTGATGCGCAGCCCCAGCACGGGCGAGGTGGTCACTTCGTCCTCGAAGGTCAGCTTGCGGATCGCCTTCGTCTTCTTGCCCGACGGGGCCTTCTGCCGCCCAGGCTCGGAGGCACCCGGCGGGCGCTTGGCGGGCAGCGGGCGGCCCGAGGCAGGCGGCGCGGCCGGGGCGGGCGGCGCGGGGACTCCACCGGGGCCGGGGTGGGCGGCGGGCGGCTCGGCGTGGCCAGCAGCTGCCCAGAGCTTGAGGTCAGCCGGGGCGAAGAGGATCGGGTCCATGGTGCCGGGCACGGCCGGCGCGGGGAAGGACTCGGCCGAGACGGGCGAGCCCAGGCTGAAGCCGCGCTCCAGGTACTTGTCCCTGCTGACGGGCCTCGTGGGGCTGTACAGCGCCTGCACGGCTGCATCGGGCGTCCCGAACGGCACCGGCGGCGGCGAGTCCCGCGGCAGGGGCGGCGGAGCGGCGGGGCAGGCGGCAGCAGCGCGCCCGGTACGACACGGGAGTGGGCCGCCGGCTGCGCTTCACCAGGAAGCCCCGGGGCATCTTCGCGCCGGCTCCGGGCCGGCGGCGGCCACGACGGAGGCTCCTAGCTCTGCCCGCGGCGCGGCCGCCGCCGCCTTTAAGCGGGCCGGGGCCATTGTTCGGGCCGGCGGCGGCGGGACGGGCCAATCAGCGGCGGCGGCGGGCAGCGGGTGGTGCTCTCGGGCCGCCCGCCAGCCAGGGCTGCGCCGCCGGCAAGCTCGGCACGGAGCACCGTCCGCTCTCGGCGGGCCGACTGTTTGCGGGGGCGGCCGGCACCGGGGTGCGGGGAGAGGGGAGTTCGGCGCAGGAGGAGGCGAAAGTGGCGCTTGTGGCGGCGGCGGCACAGAGGGGAGCGGGGCTGGCCGCCGGGGGTGCTGCCCAGCGGCGGCAGCAGGTGGCCAACGAAGGCTCTGTCCGAGCGGGAGGAATAACGAACGGGTCGTCAGGGCCCGGTCGAGCCCGGCAACCCTGCGAACGGAACAACTCCGCGCTGCTGCGGGGTCGGGGCAGGCGGAGCCACAGCCCCGGCCCGGTGGTAACCGAACCTGTTACTCTAACCCTAACGGGTTAGGCCCGCTTCCCGGTACAGGCAGGGACGGCGACGGTGGCGCTCGGTTTCAGCCCGAGACGCTGCGCGTCGGGTACGAGGTGCGACGGGGAACGGGCAGAGGCTCCCCGCTCCCCGCGCTCGGTGTGTAAGCAAACACGCGCGAAGCCCCCGAGGATGCGGCAGGTGCAGCCGTGGCGGGGAGAGCCCCGGGCCGCGGCCCCGCTCCCGCAGCCCTTTGTCCGCGGCGGCGCGGGGTTGCGCGCGGGGGGTCGCGGGGCCGCCCCGCAGGTGGCGGGCCGCGGCGCATTAGCATACAGCTGCGGCCCCGCGGGCACGCGCCGCCGCCTCCCCGCCGGGGCTACGAACCGAGACTCCCCTTCAGCGGTGGGGCTGCGCACCGAGATCTCCCTTCACCGACGGCGCTTCACACCGAGACCCCCGTCACTGCCGGGGCTGCGCACCGAGACCCCCCCTGCCCACGGCTGGGGCTGCGCACCGAGATCCCCGTCACTGCCAAGGCCGTGCACTGAGACCCCCGCCACGGCGAGACCCCGTTGTCCCCCGCGTCTCTCTTACCTGCAGCCGGCATCAGTCTGTAGGCATCGGTCGGGGCGTACATGGGCAGCTGGGCGCGGTGGAGGCGCAGGTAGCGCAGGACGGGCTCCCGAAGCGCCGGCGGGCCGGGTCTCTGCTCGGGGTGCTGCTCGGCGGCAGTGCGCTGCTGCCCGGGCACCTGCAGGACAGAGCTGTCAGTCAGACAGACGGGACTCGGAGCACACTCCGGAGACACCGAGCGTGGCAGCGGGGTCCCAGAACGGCCCGAAAACATGTCAGGGCTAGGATACAGGCAGCAGGGGGGGCGTGGAGTGGAGCTCGCACTGGTGGCACTGAGTACACCCTGCGGCCGGTGGTGCTCGACTGTTTGTTCCCCTCTCCCTCAAAAATAACCGGCCACAGGTACATGTGGAACAAACCCATGTGAGACCCCTGTCAGAGGGGTTTTGCCAGAGGAATTCCACACTTCCCCCAGCTCCATGCCCTATATTTACTGCGGCTTTTAACCGAGTCTCAGCACGGCCCAGCTGCAGCCAGAGCACCAGGCCATTATTCCTGACGGACAAGTGCTGTTCTGGTAGGTCTGGCACGGCACGCGTGCCCACGGCGTGCGGCAGCATCCAGCAGCTGATGGAGGTGCAGCCCCCAGCCCTGCCATCTGCATGTTTGCATCGCCGGGGCTGCGCACGCCGCCACAAACACATGGCTGCGATCCCCGAGGGGTAAACATGCCCCGTGCCAGCGGCCCTGCCAGAGCCCCGCGCTGCCAGGGCAGCCTCGGGTGACAATTTCAGCACAGGCTAAACGCACGGCCCCTGTCCCCAGAACATAAAATGGCTTTTCTATGCAGTTAGTGCTTCGATTAGCAAATATTTCTGCAAATATTACCCCTATTGCAGGACACCGATTTCCACTTTCTCTGGAAACTAACCAGAAATATCTGACTTCTGTGCATTTATGCCCACAGCTCTTAAATATCTTTTTCTCTCATTTTTAGCCTTCATTAGTAATTTTTCTGCATGCTGAAAAGAGCTAGAATATGAGCATCAGGGGACAAAAACAGTAGGTCTCTTACTTCATACAGAAATACAACCAGTCCTGAGGCATTTAAGAGATACTCCAAGAGCACATGGTAGCTACTCTGGATCTGGGAATGTGCCCAGAAGGAACATCAAATGAAAACATAAATTGTGACATTTAGTAAATATAGTTAAAACCACTGTGAAAAAAAATAAAAGTCCAAAATGCCAAATTTTCATTCAGATGGAGATACCATCACCTATGTCCATAGTAATCCTGACTCACACAGAGCTGCTTCCAGGCCATGCAGGGAGACTCTCTGTGTCAGGACTGCTGCCACAAAGACAGGGTAAGGCAAGTGAGTCCTTCATTTGCAGGGCACAAACTCCCCTCTCTCTCAAGCTGTTCACACTTACAGCACAACAAATAAGTTTGAACGATGGCAAGAAAAAGACTTCACATCAGGCCCCTCATTCTGCACACAACTTCATTTTGTACTCTTTTATAGAGGTGTTCCAAGACAGCCCAAATTAAACTGCACCAAGGCCCTTTCTGGGTCAGGACAACAGGAGGCAAATAGCTTTGAGCCCTTTGGGGAGGAGGCAGGGCTGAGCACGCGTGGCTGCAGCTGGGATGCAGCAGCATTGGGCCCTGGAGGTAGATGGGCCATGGGCTTCACTTCCTCCTGCCACCCTGCCTCCATTTACACTCAATTCCATTTGTTTTCCACAGAGTTAAAAACTCCTTGAGCACATGTTTAAAACCCAGTGCCACCATCTGGAACTGCATAGGTTAAACAAAGGCAGAGGCAGTGTGAGCAGGGACAGGGTGAAGTGCTCCCAGGTACTGGCTTGGAAGCACTGAAATCAGACCACAAACTCTGTTTGGGATCAGCCAGAAGTTCCTCAGGAGGTGGTGAAGGCAGCTCTGGGGGCTGCCTGACACCTGCTGTTATTAGTTCTCCCCATGGAGCACAGTGACTTTGGATTTTGGGCAGGCAGTTCCTGGCTGCTGAGGCTTTATGCCTCTGTTATGGTGCTAGGGCCAAAGCTGTAAAACAGCATTAGCAAACATTTTAATTCCACCCTTATTCAGGAAATCCACTTATCACTGAAAAAGCCAGTTGCTTTCACCCTTTGGACTACAAAAGCCATTCCCTGCAGTTAGGTGTTGAAAAACCTACCCACAGACTCAGCTGAGAGAGGTGTAGGATGGCCCATAGCATATTCCTATTAGGGAACACTCCTAAACCCAAGGGGGATACATGGACAAGCCAGGCTCCAGATTCCACTGGGTACTTGTACAAAATTGCAGCTATAATGCAAAAATACAGTCATGGACAACAAAGCAAGTTCGAGTTCTACTGGCAGATTTGAGAATATACCCAAACAAGAGAACTGAACACTGTGCTGTACATGGTGACCCCCCCCCATGAGGTACACAGTCTGCTCTGGCTTCCCCGAAGAGAGAGGTAAACAGAAACATAAAGCTTCAGGATACAGATGGGAGCAGAAATCAAAGTGACCAACACTAACAAATTACCTAAATAATAAAATGCACTCGCCAGTCATTTTTCTTACCTGTTCTGACATCAGGGTTTGGCGCAGTTCCTTCTGCAGATCAATAAACCGATCGTGATAGATGGCCAAGGACCAAGGTTCCCTGAAGTAGCTGGGTAAAAAAGAAGAAATTTAGTTATCTTGTGAACCTCTCATTAACCACTAATAAAGTATTTACCTGCTTTTTTGCCTTTATAAATTACAGTTCTGGACCCATCATGATCGTTTGTTCATAAAATGCCTCCTTGTAACAGCATGGTCAATCAATTCTTTTAATGGATGTTCCTGAGGTACAGCCAGCTTCAGTAATTACATTTAAAGTGGCTTAATTCAGAGCTGTGGCAAGACCCAGTGAAGAATCCTGATTTTATCAGAATTTAAAAGCCTGAAGACCTGTAAAGAACGGTGTCTCCATTATCTGTCCTCATTTGAGAAAAGCAGATTGCAGGATTAACTGAACTACTGCATAAACAAATTAAATTTGTGTAGACAATGACACAAATGTTGTTCATCATTAAGGTTTCTGGATTAATAAAAGCCAGAAAAACAGGCCACCACAGGGCTGCAATATGTTCTTTGCACTAGTGTGATGAAGCTAAATTGAACCGATTCTACGAGGAAGCTCTTGTAACTTTTTCTTTCAGTGACAGCATGCACAGCAGCATTCTTCCATGAAAAAGGAGGAAAAGGATGGAGAGGGCACTGCTCCCTGTAGAACCTCATGGCTGTAAATATAACTGGGGGCAGCCAGATTACAAAGCTGTGATTTACTTCTCTCTGTAATGAAAGATAAATTTTACAGGTCGGGTGAGATGCTCGGAGTGTAATTCTTGTCAATGCTCACAGCGGCCAGGAGGTGCCCCATGCTCATCTTCATAATGACCGAGCAGATGTCAGCAGGCTCACCTGGGAAGTTGGGAGAGGGGGGCATTGTGGTTGCCACCAACACCCATGCCTTGGGAATGGCAGCAGGACCCTGGCACTGCCCTCTGGAGCACAGGAACCTTCTCACCTGGTTCAGCTGTGTGGCCTTTAAGTGAGCACCTGCATAAGGCAACTTAAACATGCTACACAGATTTAATAATCCTGAGATACCTGTCCACAGAGAGCTAATGTGCAGTTTCCTCTCTGCAGATTTTACTTCCTCCATGTCCAAGGGCAGGATTTCCCCCTCCTGCTCTGAAAGACACCTCAGCTCTCCCTCACACCCATTAAAATGCTCTGTGCACCTGGCACAGCTTGGCTGGATGCCCATGTGCTTGGACCCTCTCTGTCCCAGACCCTCATTCCCCTCTGAATGCCAGGCTGGCTGGGGCTGCCTCTCGGAATCTGCTTGGTCTGCAGCACAGCAGGGCTCTCTCCCTCCCACAGACCTTTTCAAAGTATAAATATTTATGGACACCATTCCAAGCATCTCATCCTTGCTGTAGCAAGTGCTGCCTAGCTCAGGAGTTACTGGGACTGATGCTTGCCTGCTCATTTGGATATGCAGGTTAGGATGAGCTCAGTTTTAAGGATCCTTGTTTCAGTAACTGCACACCCCATAGGTCTGCAGAGAGCTGGAGAAAAACAAAATACCCCCCAACATTTAAAATCTCTTCTGTTTCAGAAGAAAACCCCACCCAATACAAACCTTTGTGAGCTCTCCCCCAACATTTAAAATCTCTTCAATTTCAGAAGAAAACCCCCACCCAATACAAACCTTTGTGAGCTCACTGTTGATAATAAATAGCATAGAGAGAAAGGGAGGTGTTATACAAGACTACATTAAGGTAATTAAAGACTCTATTTTTACTGATATGCTGTGGTAAAAGCTATGTTCTGCTGGCCGAATGTTTTGTCTTCAAGCTGGCATCTTAATTTAGACTATAATCCTGAGCAGATGATTTCCTCTCTCAACTGAGGTGCAACCTTCCCAACTGCCTTACCTCAGTTAAGGGGCTCACCTGCCTCACTGAGGTGTTGCACTTAATGCTCTTTGTAAATGTTTCAGGGCTGCTACATATTCCCACTATTGTCACCAGCTTCATCTATAACCACATCTTTACTGTTCTGGTCAATATCCACAGATTTGGAGCTCAAAACCTGAAATGTGCCACGCAGTTTGGAATCTTTAATGCAAATAAAATGCCTGGTTTTCAGGATCAAAGAATGCCTTGTCCATATTTTCTAGATAGACTGCCAGAAGGAGCTCCTAGTAACTAACATTTACTCCCAGACTTCCTTCACTTCCCCTCACCTGAAGAACACCAAGGGCCATTTGGAGATTCAGCTCACACAAACAATTCACTTTCTTTGCCGGCTCTATACTTCCATCTATTTATCTTTTCAGTTTGAATCACCTTTCTCAGGGGGTACACGGTGTTTTTGACAGAGCAGCTCTACATATGGCTGCTAAAGGGAAGCTTAATAATGAAAAACCCCATTTGAAACCAACAAGTTGACTTTCTGAGGCTCATTCTGAATTTTATTACCACTTCAGCAGCAGTCCCTCAGGGCAAGCCGTGGAAGGCTTCAAAGTATAAAGCTCTTCAGTGTACGAGACAGAGCTGGCACACTCCCAACAGGGGCTCAGCGGCTCCTCCGCTATCACAAGAACGGCATCTGCCACATGTGTTTGCACCATTTAGTCTTTCATAACCTGCCAGAGTGATCAGGCTAAATATGTACAAGATGACAGTGTCTGCCAGGAACATAAGGGGTGTGCAAACTTGGTCACTTCCTAGCGGGGATCCCTGCTGGAAGCCTTTATGGCGATGACAGCGATTGCGGGAAGGCGTTTGTGACGGGTGGGATGGAACGGGCTCCTGCAGAAGACAATGAACAACATCCTTTGCGTTGCTAAGGAGCTGGTCTCACCTTTCATTGACAAACAACATTTCAAGTCTGTTCTGCCTCATTTGTGAGGTGTAGCCTACATTAGATGAGAGGCAAGGAGGAAGGAAATATTTCGTGGTATCCTGTACAGAAGGCACGGAATCCTTCCCTTTGCAAGAGACATAAACAAAATGGGCAGAGCTGGGCACTTCTAGCAAGCAAAAATGGAGTGCATACATGGCCATCCATCTGAGAGCTGCCTAGAGTCACTCTCCATTTCATTTGCAGGAACACACCACATTTGGAGAAGAAGCCTCTGCCCCTGTGGAAGATGGTTCTTTGTCCTAGCAGCAAGGACCCAACACTGAGCTGCCACCTGAGTCAGGTCTGGTGGCATGGGGGTATGGCACTGGGGGGCAGCATGCATGGGGGCAGCAAACTGTGAAGCCATAACAATCTTTAATACTGAATGAAAAACCTTTAGAATAACACCCTTGTTTTGTGCAAGGACATGACAAAAAGGAAGTTATAAAGATAAGAAAAGAGATGAGTAATTTCAGCTCTGTGGTACATCCCCTACCTGCAGGGGAGCTTGTCCATGCCAACTGCTCCATGCTCTGGCCCAGGGTCTAGTTCCAGGGATCAATCCTGACCCCTGAGCTGTGTCTGCACTCTGGTGCCTTCTTGCTGCAAGGGGGCTGGGATGAGAAGGGGATTTGCCACTGCTCAAAGGGCAGGTGGCATCTTGTGATGGTGCCTTTGAAAAATCCCTCTGCAGACCGGAGTGTCAGTGACTACAGGTTTGGAGGATGATGTGTCCATGGCTCTTCTTATGCTTGCTACTCAGAACTTGCATGGATGGAAACAACACACCCAAATTAGACTCCTTGCATCCCTCCTACCCCTATCCTTCACCAACACACACACTCAAAGGAAGTTCAGAAACTCTGACAGCCTATGATGTGGGTTGAATCTGCAGTTCTCAATAAATGTCTCTAAGCAATCCTGAATACAGATTTCTTGAAATCCCATTTGTTTCTTCCCAAAGCCATCTACGAGTCACCAGTGCTCTGCCCTTGGTGCCATTAAGCCCAGTGGCCCTCTGGTGATGGCTGTGCCCTCAGCACCAGCACTGTGAGCACACACAGAGCAGCACTATGGCTTTTAGTACACAATACAAGCAGAGTCACTGATCAACTTAATCTCCTGGTAATCTGTAAGGAGTGGAGAGAGTCTTCTTTCCTCTCTGGACCTTCCCAAGCTTTGTTCAATGCAGGGAATTTTTAAGATAGACATTTGCCTTCCTAGGTTGAAATTTTTTTCTAAGAAGAAATGTAATGCTTGAAATGCAAAATTCTCCAGGCTGTTCATCTGAAAGATACTCTGTCCCTTCTCAAATTCTCAGACTTCAGGTCATACAAAGTCATTCTCCAGCATGTGTGGATGGCTCTGGTGGTGCCTCTCAGCGAGTCTCTCAGTGGTGCCTTTGGCATGTGATGGCCGAAGCTGGGAGGCCAGTCAGGCAGAGAAAGGCTGCTGCTCACACATCCCAGGAATACCCCAGGAGAACAAGCACAGAGGAGATTGAAAAGTTCAGCTGACACGGGCTCAAGTGGAACACAATTACACCAGGAGTGCCTACACAGAGCAGGGACTTCCACATCTCAGGAGTGGGAAGAGTAAAGTACTGTGGAGGGATGGGATGCAATGCAATTTCAATTTTCAATTCCTGACAATACTTCCCAACCACAGCTTGCAGATGAACAAGTCTTTTCTCCAACACCAGCACACAAGATGGAACATCCCATCTTGCCAGGAAAATTCAAAATGTTTTGTTTTGAGAACAATATATGCATGTGTTTAAGACTCTTAATTACAAAGATACATTAATACCAGCAAAAGATACAAAATGTTTCCTGATATACCTTGGATAGTTGGACCAGGAATCATAGTGTGTTAATTTAAAGACAATATAAATAAATGCTCCACTGAGCATTTCCTGCATTCATATGACCAATAATTTCAAAAGACAGCTTGTTTACATAGGTAAAAAGCAAGACCAATTTGTGTAAAATCCCCTAGAGCACCACCTGAGAGCATTGTTCTTCAGCACAAAGGACATAACATATTCCCTGACCTGCAATTTCTTAACGTTCACCTACAACTGCTGAACTGCAAACCAAAAGCCTGTTTGTAGCAAAAAGGGTCTTTACTTCCTTGCTCTGCAGTTCTGCTCCCTGAACACCTGCTTGTCCAGGTGTTTGAAAATCTCCTGTTAAATTCAGTGATCCAGGA